AGGAGAGGAGAGGAGAGGAGAGGAGAGGAGAGGAGAGGAGAGGAGGGAAAGGTACTTAGAGCGCTTCCCCAAATGTTTATGTGCCCAACCGTCTTCCCCTCCCAGCCCAGACCAACTTCAGTTGAAGCAAGGAAGCAGGAGAGATGAAGGATGAGAAGATTATTTATTTTTCATAGATTTTTATAAAAAATAATTATCAAATACAAAAAAATAAAAATAGCAGCAGCCTCCATTGTGAATAAAACCCTAAAGGGGACACAAACCACTCAGTGTTGCTATAGAAGAACAATATTTTGGTATGTAGAAGCTATCCATCCATGAGAAGCACAAATCTCCCCCAGCCAAGCCAGCACCTTGCCCACCACTCTTTATGCCCATGGTGATCAGGGATGGGTCATGCCCAAGACAACGATTTTAATGAGAAAAAAAAAAAAAAAGTCAAATGTTGGCGTCTAAACACATAGGTGCCCAAGTAGAGCTGATATTGAGCAAGTGGCAAGATACCAGGGCTTGAAATTCTCCTATCTAAATCCGTGTGTAACCTGCACTCTGTGTGTGTGTGGCTACCATGGTCCCATGGCCAGCAGGTCCCCAAGGTATCCCTCAGTCCTGCTATGTCTGTGATGGGGTAGGCTGGGACACCAAGGCAGGAGGAGGCTGGCCGTGGGGTGAAGGATAGGGAAAAGGCTCAGAGGAGGTCACAGCATCTCCTGCCTGGGACTGCTGGGATGTCCAGGTGCCTCTGCCCCCTGCTCCTTTCCTTCAGCCAAATGTAATTCCTGACAACGTGGGCTGCAGGAAAGATGCTACCAAAAAGCCAAAGGATGCCTTGACAATCCCCAGTCTCTCCACACCGTGTCACCCTCTCTCCATCACTTGGTGCCAGACAAACCCTGTCTCGGAGCCTGGCTCCACTGGTTCAGCTCGTGTTCTGGGGATGTAGTGGTGCAGATGTGGGGCTCCCAGCCACAGAGTGGGGGTGCAGAGCTCCTGGACACGGATGGGTTTCTGTGCTCTTGCTCCATGGTCCGTTCTCTGCTCTTTCCAACCCTTTTGTCTTTGTAGCATAAAACCAGCAGTGACAGTCCCAGCTGAGCCGGTACCTTCCCTACTTTCTGTCTCTATGGGGCTGTGTCCAGACCCCAAGCCTGTGGAATCTGCCCTGGGAGCCAAGGTTTTTTCCTGGGCTCTTTCGAGGCTAGGAGCAAATTTGAAGGTTTTCACTTGGTTTCTAGAGGAGGAAGAGACCCAAGAAAGGCTGTACTGGGTATGCAGTGCAATGGGCCACAGAGACGGTGATAAGGAAAAGCTCAGTGGGAGATGGTGCTCAAAGAATCCTGATGAGTCACTGGGGTTCTGCCCCTCCCTGTGCTACAGGACCTGATCTCCTCCAAGATCTGCTGACTGCACTGCTGAAGTTCATGTTTGGAGATATGGGGAAAGAAAAGGAGGACCCCTTCAGCCTCCTTCATTGCAGAGCATCACAGTTATTCTGGCTTGCCCATCACATCCCTCCTCTATCTGGGTCTCAACAGCCAAGGTAAGTCTAGGGCACAACATTCCTTTTCAACCTCAAAATCCTGCTCCAGGACCAGAGCAAGGCAAAGCTCCAGTGAATCCCAAGGGCAACACTTGCCATCAGCAGATACTGAGAGTACCTCGAGGTCCTGGCCTCCACACCATCCACCTGGAACTCCCTCCTAGCTTGGCTGGGATGTTTGGCTTCTCTCTCTGTTGTCCTTCCAGCTCTTGCTCCGCAAACGAGGGGAAATTCCCTGCTCTTCCTGCCCTGACCTGCACTTTTCCCAATGGTTTGTACTTCACAGCAGCATGGGTGTGTGACAAAGGGTATCCTTTCTCAGCTTCATCAAGAGCAAAGAAAATATAATATATAATACTTTATATATATTATATATATATATGTATATATATATATATATATATAATTAAGTTTAAATATTTGCAGAGATCACAACTACCTCGACCTTGCTAAAAGAAGCCTGTACAGCAGAGGGAGGGGAGTGAATAGTGACAAAATTCAGAGCAAAAACGCTGCACCAGGACACGTGTCTGCAGCCGCATCCAAGCTCCCGGTGCCGGACCCCACGCGGAGCCCCTTGGGCTGGACCCGAAGTCCCTGGCAGGAGCCTATGGGGATGGGGATGGGACCACCTGGCCTCCTTTTCCACAGCCACCACCTACTCGGCGGCCTCCGCTGCCATCCTCCTGTCTGGCTCATCCATGTGCCTCCTGCCCCGGCACCCTGCCGCCTCCTTTGGTATCCCTTCGCTCCTCCGGCGCTCGCCTGACTGATAGAGGCCCTCCATGCCACCACTACTGGTTCTCCTCAGCCGCCGGGTCGCGGCACGTACACTCGTCCTGGTCACAGTCAGCAGCGAATGGGATCACCTGCAGTGACACAAAGGAGATGTTAGCCCAGATCAAGCCTCCGCTCTGAGATCCCTTGCCCACCTCCATAGTATTTCTCCATTTTGGTGTGGGCAGGCTTTGGGCTGAAGGTGGTGTAGAGGAGACCACCAGGCTTTGCCATCACTGAGAAACAGCTCCGCTATGGGGTGTCCCAAATTGTGCCCCATGGCTGAGCTTTGTTCTTAGCGTTCTCCTCTTCAGCAATTTGCGTTTCAAATTTTGCCATCACTGGTGAGCTTGAGTCTTGTGCCCCAAACATTAGGGGGAAATGCCTGATGGGCATTAGCCATTTGGACTAGGGAAGACACGTCTAGATTTCAGTTTTACTCTGACCCTCGTTGTCTACATCTGAGCCCATGGTCCTATCCTTCCACCTGTTCCTGGTTCTCCAGGCTCAGCCATAGCATGGCTTTGTCCTTTCCACCTCTTGGAGGAACTCAGCACCTCCCACCTACAGCAACCTCCATATTGCCTGGTGTAGGAACCAAGTTTATGCCTACAGTTCTTGTATGCAACAGATAAAGAAAACCCAGGCAGGCTGGATGCAGTGTGGGCAGGAATGGTCTTCAGCAGGAGAGGCAGTGGGTCCATCTATGGTCATCCACATGCAGGAGAGAAGGTTGACTACATCAACTGTATCCAGCCAAGCAAGCTTATGTCACCTCAGCTGATGACAGCAGAGCAGGGTGGAAGGGCACCAGCAGAATATCTGGCTCCTGATCAACAGATGCCAGCAGTGGGCCATGGGAGTAGAGGTAACCAGTTCCTATGGAGACTTTATGCAAACCAGGCTCAGAGCCTGGAGTTTTTCTTACTGTGGGAGCATATCTGATTTTTGACAGCCAGTGAGAGGCTGGAGAATCTGGTGTGTTCCGTCCTTAAGAGAGAAACACAAGAGGCTCGTGCTGCTGGAGAGCTGCCTGTGGGGCACACAGAATGGGCTGTGTCTCCTTGAGACTGCCTGTCCTTTATTTTGGCCAGAGATCCAAATGCCTGAAACTCCGAGAGCCATGCCCTGCTCTGAGATGTGCTATCAGTGTGGAGGTTTCACTCATCACCTGGCTGTAAAGCCTCTTCTCTCCTATCTCAACTGGATCTTCCCAGGATTTCATTTTTACCTTACTCTGTGTGTGCGTGTGATGAAAGGAAAAATGATTCAAGCTCCACAACAAAGATGAGAAGATCCAAATTCACATATTTTTGCACTGAGAAATTCTCTTGTGCCCTATGGTTTGTTTTGCTGCTGGATATGTTTAGGAAGGATGGGCTGTGAGTGCTGGGTAGCAAATTAGGTGGGAGGGGTGGTTGTGGTGGGAGACAGAAGAGGGTCTGCACAACTCTAATGCCAAGTTTCTCCCTATATGCTATTTCTCCTTTTTTTTCCCTCCCAAGGAGAACTGGGAAAGGCAACTCATAGCAGATGCCAACAGACCATGCCAAAATGCCAAATTCCCTTGAGATCACTCAATTTTACAACAAGGTGACTTCTGACTCACCGTGACTAGCGCTACATCCTATGGAAGGCATGTATTTGGGACTTATTTCCCAAATTGAGAGGGAATCCTGTGAGCCTCAGCATGAGCTGGGTTGAGCTTTCCGTCCCTCTGGCATGGGTCCAAACCTCACTGTAATCAGTGGAATGATGTCTATCAGCTTCAGCTGGTTTTGGTTTAAAATCATGGGTTTGTTGATGGGAGAATTGTGTTGCAGGCCTGGTTCCACAGCCAGCAAAGCACGGCTAATGGTGACCACTTAATCCCAAATGCCCATATTGTGGAGAATGCTGACTTACCTTCCTGGAGGACAGCGTGGAGGAGCAGCAGTCACCTCCATCATACTGGCAATATGCCCGGTTGTTGATGGTGTCACACCAGCCATCTGCTAGGAAGGGCTAGAGAAACGAGTTGTTGCTGAAAGGGTTATTCAAAGGTTCCCCCCGAGAGCAGAAATCCCATGTCCTCAGCAAGCCCTCTGTGCACTGCTCTCATGCAGTGGCACTGCAATGCAGCTGTGCATATTCACAGCCTGAGAAGGGCTCTGTAAGAAGCTGACCCAGCTCTTCTCTCCATCACCACTCTTCCCACCCAAAACCCTTCTTCTAATGAGCTTGGCTCTGAAGTTGAGTTTGGTGACTTGGGCAGCTAAGAGCAGAGAGGCAGTTAGGATTAATAGAGCATACTGCTAGAGGGTTGGTGTTAGGAAGACAGATGCTTTATCTCCCTTGGACTAGGGAGTCCAAGGTCAGGAGTGTCCCAGAAGATCTTCTGCCCAAGCCGAGAATTGACAAGCACTGGTGGCAAGGACTAAGCCTTTTCCACAAGGTTCTTGCTCTGGCTCTGACATCAGAGGACATGTCCCTACAGTACTCTAGACTCTAGAGGCAGCTCTAGCCCTCTCTATAGGATACAGCTCCACCAAACTTTGCCAAGCTTAGGACTACAAGCCTACTAATCCAGAGGTCAGATGGGAAACAGAGATCTCCAAGCACTTACTGCCTGCAGTCAAAATCCAACTCTGGCTTGAGTAGAAAAGGCAGTAACCCTACTGATAATGAGAAATATTGGCAACATGGCCACCTTCTAGCTTCAGACTTGGCCATCTTCATTTTCATTTCTCTGCTTCATGGCTCCATATGGTTGAGTAGTGGAGGACTTTCACTGAGTGGCACAGCCCAGTGCCCTTTGCTGCTCTGCTGTGAGTCACCATGGGGTCTCCCTGATCTGCTGGGGATGTGCAGAGCCTGTCTTTGTGCAGCTCAAACTAACGCCCCAACATTAACAAGCCTTCCTTACTTTCATCTGTACTGTGGAAGCAGAAAGCTATTCCAGTAGAATAGCTTTCTGACCAGAAACATTAAACGGCACGAACAGCCATTCAGAAATCCACTTAATTTTTTTTTGTCTGGCTACATGAGTCATCTGATTAGAGAAGAGAAACAAGTAACTGGGGCTGAGCAGCAGCCAGCTGGGCCTGAGAAACAGTGCTGCACAACTGGTGCAACCCAGCAGCGTGCATGGGGTGTGCTTGCAAAGAGCTGTCAGGAGCTATAGCCGAAGTTTATTTAGCACAGATCCACATCAGCACCACCAAGCAACAATGGGATGTGCTAACAAAATGGAGAGGCCATTCATAATCTGGGTGATTAGCAGTGAAATATTTCTCCTGCTCTGCACTGGCAGCTACTGGCTGAACAACCGTGGCCATCCTCCTGCTGTCATCAGAAGAGGCTCCTGGTAGAAACCTGGCCATCCCTTTGCTCAGGAAAGCAGCCATCTCGTTTCACTGGGTCTAGTGGTCGCAAGTGATAAATCAGAGGACTTCAGGGTGCAGTTTCATGAATACAAAAGGGTAAATACTCCTCTTCCAACAAAGATGCCCAATGGCTCTTAAAGAATGGCGAGTAGAAGTCTCTGGTGAGCTGGGGCTGGCAGATGCAGGATGCAGGCAGGGGACTGGCCGCTGGTGGGGATGTGCTCTGAGCGTGATTTTCTTTCATGGTGGAGTTTTTCCTTGAGCTTCACTCCATGTTTCATGACTCACTGGCAAAACAACACCCGCTGCTTCTGTAGTTTCCATCTAATTACCGCAGAGGATTGCTGGTCCCAGCTGCGCAGGTCTGAAACGATTTCCAGATCATGCTTTGTGTGCAAGGTGGGGGAGGACAGAGGCAGGAACAGGATGGGCAAGGAGACACTCTCGCTTTCTCTCTATAACTATTAGGGCTAATTGCCCCCTTTCCTCTATCGGCCAGAATGTGTACCCCACCCCAAACAAATATAGGCTCCTATGGCAACACATGTTGGGGAAACTTAACAGCTCATGCTCCAAATTACATTGGAAAAACATTTGAGGGAAAAATAAGAAATGACTAACTGGACTGGAGACTCCTGAGAGCCAGGAGTATGGGTTGGGGACACTGGCCCCGTTCCTCGCAGCACCAGGACAGGTTCAGCCTCATTGCTTACAGGACAGTGGCAGATCAAGGAGAGCAACCAGAGTTGGGCTGATAAAGAGATGCTGCAGCTCTCATTGGATCTCCAACGGAGATGCCATGAATCCTGCTGCTTTGCCAAAGAGCCTCCAGATAGCTCCAATTTTTGCGAGCAGAAAGAGCGAACTCTGGCACTGCCCTTGGCTTCCCTTGGTCTTTATTTGTGTTAGTCTCATCATGGTCTTGCAAGAGACTAGGGAAGGACACAGACAGTGCAACCAAGTACGAGCAGGTGATTTGAGAGAGAAAGCCACCAATGGATGCTACCAGCCCACATTTAAACTGTGTGGCTCTGGAGAAAAATACACTAGCATGGGGCAAGGAGAGGCTGGACTGTGCCAAGGTCTCCAGGAGGACTTGGAAGTGTGTTAGAACATGATGGGGAGCTGTAGGGCCAGGCTGCATGCCACCAAGAGCTGGGCTTTGTCATCCATCTTGAGTCTTGGCAGAAGCATCACCAGGGCATGTGTTAGCATGTGGAGAATGGCACCTGGCACCACAGAGCCAGGCAATGCACTGCCCTAATAAAAATAGTAACTGTGCACCAAGTGTTTTGCCCACAGCATTTTTTTTCACCCCTGTAGAGTCTTCAGAGTAGGAGCTGAGGCTGCTGGCTCTGTCGCTGCAGATGAACCAGACCAGACAATATGGGAGCGTGGGGCCACCTCCTTTGTTCTTGTCCCAAAGTCATCAGCTAGGTGGATGAGGTCCAGATGCTTTTCTTCAATCTTATATGTAGGTTGATTCACTGTGAAAGAGCTTGGAAGGGTGTGACAGGAACAGTGGTGAGCAAGGCAGCCAGAGAGGCTGGGTTTGGGGAAGGCAACAAAGCAGAACGGATAAACCACAGATGCCATCAGTATTGCACATAGTTTGGTGCTGCGTCATGGGCACTCGGTGAACAGCATTTCTCAGAAATGCAGGCTTTGCTCTGGTTGAGCAGACCTGAAGGCCCAGTACCTATCTACTGGCAATGACCTGTTCCAGATGCTTCAGAGAAAGGTGGAAAAAAGAAAAAAAATGCAATGTGCACCTGGCCAATTACGTTCTGAACAGCTCTTCTGTGCTGCTGTGGAAAATGCTTGCGATTTCCATCTGCCTATAGCTAGAGAAAGCCCAGATCCTAGTTTCAGAATTCAGCCTCCGTAAGCAAAATGTTTCCTCCCAGCCTCTAGGATGCTGTGCAGGTCCTCCGCTTTGCAGTCACACTGATTCCGTGTAAGGAGGGCATGTAGACTGCTCTTGTGCTTTTACCAAGCCATCAAACCTCTTGCTGTCTTTGTGTCTTTTCCTTTGGGCAACAGTATTTTGGGTTTTGATGGACTTCAGACCTTTGCATTCCGGGATGGCCATGTTTTACCCTGCAGGTGCCTTTGTTCTTCTCAGCTGTAGCTCTCATAGCAGCCCCAGAAGAGCAGGGAAGCACCATTCTGGCATGGGCAACAGGCAGAGACCAGCCCTGGAGATGTCACTGCCAAGCTCTATGGGAAGACTGGAGATCAAAGGGAGATGGTGCAGAAAAGAAGCAGGGTCATGGCTGGGTGATAACCTCTGCAGGGACATGCCTGCACATGGTTTGCTCACTGGCTGTGCAGAGCTCTTGTTTTTCCAGGAGCATCAGCATGTGCTCAGCACCAGATGCAAGAAAGCAGTGGCTCTCACCTTGCACAGGTGGAAACCAGTTGGTGGTAGATGAGCGTCAGCCCAAAGCCAGGCTGATGGCCACAGGACATTGAGCTGTCCTGGGAGCTGGAGGCAGGGGTCGCCTCCAACCTTTCCTTCTTTGCCACCCCATTGCAGCCCCAGGAAAGCTCTGCTATTCCAGAAAATCTCTAGGAGGACACAAAGAGTGCCCAAAGCCCTGTTAAAAGCCAGGTTTACTCAGCCCTCCATACATCCACCACCCCGTGGTCTTCACTTGTGTCCCTGGAAAACCCCTCACAGAAAAGTCCTTGTCCCATCCCTTCAGCACCAGTCCAAAGCACTGTTCCCCTATAGAGAAAGCAGGCTGCTCTCCATCCCTCCAGCCACAGCCACAGTTAGAGGGATGCTACAGCACAGTGTCCCCAGGATGCATCCCCTTCCTTGCTGCTGCTGGTGGGGCAAGGAGCCCGGCAATTCTTGGCTCTCCCAGCTTGCCCAGGGAAGTTGACGGGGAATGCAGACTGTGGGAGGAAATGACAATGTTCATTGTTTGGATTGAATATTTTTCTTGGCCCTCTCTCTATTGCAGCGTGCCTTTTATTTCATTATTTTTTCTCCCCCCTCCCCGACACCCCGAGCATGCTGACTCTCCCTCTCTCCTTCCTGAGGCTCTCTGGCACGCAAGGAGGAAATCAGCTCTGAAAAACACAGAGAGGGACAGAGAGGGAACAGGGCTGGCATCTCGTCAAGAAGATTTTTGGGATGCTTCGCTGCCCTGAGCCACTCTGAACAGCAAGTGAGTGCTGCCCAGCCACTGTGCCCAGGAGAAGAGACTTCGAGGGAAGAGAGCTAAAGAAATTTGGCAAAAAGCATCTGAGACCAAATGTCTGGGAGAAGACGAAAGAGGAATAAATTCCTGCAGCCCCAAGTGTTTTGTCCACTATTTCTGTGTCACCTGGTTTCTGTCCCCCAAGCCATTACTGTGCTCCTTTTAGAATCACAGAATCATTAAGGTTAGAGAAGAATTCTAAATCTCCAAGTCCAACCCCAGTCCACCCCACCATGCCCACTGCCCATATCCCTCAGTGCCACAGCTCCATGGTTCTTAAGCATCTCCAGGGATGGTGACTCCACCACCTCCCTGGGCAGCCTGTGCCACTGCATCACCACTCCTTCTGAGAAGAAATTTTTGCTAATTGTTGTCCTCGGAGCCACATGCCCCCAGGATGGCTTGGAAGTGAAATGAAGAAGCGTCA